CATTTCCATCATTTACATCATTTTAATCGGATCGAAACACTGAAAATTCAGAAATAAATCGATGAATGGATAGACAGACAACCTAAATCATTCAGTGTACAGTATATAATTATTTTAGAGAGCATCTGCGACGCGCTTTACATTTAATTTGACAAATTAATGGGGAAACCTCGTATGCTCTTTGATACATCGAGGATTGTGTGATATAAATATATCAAAATATAGAACATATATGTAATACTTTTAAACGAACGACTGTATATTGTTAAATACAAATAAAGTAAAATTAAAGCAAAACTTCTACTAACCTAAGCGAGCAATAAATCATTACTGCGTTTTTGTTTTGATTTGTAGTAATATTTAGAAAAAAAAGAATAAAAAAATTTCAAAAAAATTTAAAAAAAATTTCAAAAAAATTAAGAAAGAAAAAAAAAAACTCTTCACATACTTTATATACAAACAATACGATAATCACATTGAATAATTGGAATCAACTTCATTCATAAGTAAATTTTGAAAATGTAAAATAAATGAACAAAGTATTTTTATGTTACATGATGTTAAAGAAATAATTTATGCTTATTGCTGACATATTGGTATGTTAAACGATGAATGGAGGTGCGCGAAGACATTCTTGGCCGAGTGTGTTATAAGTGTGTGTGTGTGTGTGTGTGTGTGCCTGTATGTGTGTGTTTAAAATAATAATATATATAAAAAAAAAACAAAAAGAAGAAAATAAACGCGCATAACTATGCCTACGTATGTATATATAAAGTAATGCTTGGGCATTGAAAGAATATACGCAGCTGCATATGCTGCTGTATCCAGGCTCGTTGGATGGATGCTGGTTTCCTAAGCAATAAAACGAAATGAGAAAGTTATATTTGCCTATATATATATATATATATATATATATATGTATGTGGGTTACTTAAAACGAACTTGTAATGCCCTCTGCTTAGGGTTGCTAATGATTATCAACTTTTCGTTGATTATATTACGCGCTACTCTCTAAGGCTTTAAAATGGAAAAGGCAGAGTTTAGTAACAAAGTTTTCGTTTTCTATAGCAATGCAAGCGCAGTTAAATCGTTTTTAAATAACTTGAACAATTTGTTAATGTTACATATGTATATATATATATATATATATATATTATATGAGTTCAATGACAATACGATGTGGTAACGACGTTTCCACATGCAAGGACACTTTGCTTGGTCAGTTTGAAAAGTTCTAATCGGGACAGTAGATCAAAAGGTGAGTAAGGCAACTAAAAGGTGAATAAAGTGGTATTTAATTATTATTAGTGTTGCAGGAGAAACGCAAAAACAATGTTGCCAAGCTTAAGAGAATCTATTGTAAATCGTCCTTTCATTGTTTCCTTTTTTTTTTCTTATTTCTTTTTTCTCGTTTTTTTTTTTGTTTTTTTTTCGTAAATACAATTACATTGTAAAATATTTCAAAACAATAGGATTTCGAATTTTATGATTATTAAATTTCAAGATTGGGATATTTTTGATGGTTTTGCAGGATAAATTTTAGATTTTAGTTTTTTTTCGCAAAAAAAAAAAAAATCTTTTAACAACTATTTTATCGCGCAATTTAATGATTGCTCATTATTATATATAATATATGCTGTTGTGCTCAACAAGTAAGACCAATTCTCTGTTTATCTATTTATTATTTCGTCTGTACTCCGTCGCCTTCAACGATACCTCATATACCTCAGATGCACTTATACACTTATCCTAAAGTTTTTTTTTTTTTTTTGTAATTCTCGAAACAGTGGTTATAGTCGATTTCTAGGATGGTCTTCAAAGCTTTGTTGCGACTCAGCTCCACTTCCACTTCCATCGAATCAAAACGTTATCCTAGGAGTAGCCTTTTAAGTTTCACATAGGGCTGTATCAAGTGATTGTGGCATGATATGCTTTGCATTTTTATTAGGTTTATTGAGATGCTTATAATGTAAAATCGTTTCAGATGATAGTAGGTTCGGTCAAGTAATTGAATTTGATATGAAAATTTTTAATGAAAAATTTAGGTCGAATGAAATGATTCGCGATGTTTTATTATATGATAGGCTCGACGAATATTTTTGAATCAAGTTTTTTAAATTTTTTTTTTTTTTAAATAGAGCAAATAGAACAACTATAAAAAAACTAAAAAGCCGAAAAAAAAAAAACATTTTTAATTTCTATATATTTTCACGTATGCTGATCTCTACATATATATTAATTAAATTTAATACATTTTATGTTTTGCGTATACTTAAAGGCCCGCAGAAAGTGTGTAATAAATTAATCAATGTTAATTAAAAAGCAAATGTCCAACGCCTATGTATTCATTAATTAATTATATTTCGCTTTATTTTTTAAAATTTTTCCCCCAACAAAATTTAGGTTAATACATAATATTGTGTAGAATATTCATTTTATGACATATAAATAATAATAAAATACTTTCTTTGCTTATCAACATTCATTGAAATTTTCTTCTTGCATTTATAAAAATAAGTTTATTTATTTATATTTATTTATTTATTGCCTATATATTTTTTAAATAAATTTACAATGCATGGATTTGGAGGCCGCCGGACCATATATGTTCGCCTGCATTGGAAATTTTTTGTACGAATTTGAGATTTGAACGCGCGATTATTGAGTTGTTAATCGCGATCCTCCGCCTACATATATACAATGTTATTGTAATTAATTTAGGTTGAAAAATAAATTCAAAGACTAAAGTCTTAAAGTACTAGCATCTAGGGCTATCAGCTATTATTAAAAACTTTACCGCATTTGGGCATTGAACCCACAATCATTGAGTTGTTGTTGTCGTGATATAACCTATGTACATATGTTGTACCGCTATCCGGGAACTCAAGTCAAAAATATATTCGTTTAATTGAAGAAAGTGTTAAGTCAAAATTTATGCATGGATTTCATTCATACATCTTTGTTTCATATGAACGTAATATACTTACTATACTTAAAGGCGATATTTTTTAGACTATTTATTATATGTGCCAAGTTTAAGTTTTTTTTTTTTTTTTTTTCTTATTTTTTATTTTATATATTTATTTATTTTTTTTTTTGCCTCAAATTTTGAGACTCTGAGAAATCTAAAAATAAATAAACAGACGGCAGATGGCAGCAAACACATACAAGCAAGTCGACTTTAAAACGCATGTCGCTCATAAATTTTATACTTTTATATTTAGAGAGATTCCCTCTGCGCATATGTATTTAAAGAAGTGTGCTGAGCAAGCGGTATTAATATAATATTGAATACTTTGAAAATATTACGCCTACAAGAAGGCAAAATTGCAAAGAAACAAAAAAAAAAAAAAAAAAAAAAAAAAAAATTAAATAAATAAATAAATAAATAAGTAAATAAATAAATTCGCTTTATTTAATTCTAATATGCAGTCTGAATATATTAATTAAGGATAATTTTACTTATATAATAATAATAAAAATAAAAATGTTTTTATTTTTCGGCATTTATTTATGTAGATATTCGTATCATATTTCAATTCCTTAATTGTGATCGCGAAGAGTAAGCAATGTGCATATTGTTGAGAGTGAGAGAGCGAGAGAAAGGCAGAGAGAAAGAGAGGGAGAGAGCAAAATATTGAAAGAGCATCAAATAAAATTAACCGATTAACTGTTTACAGATTAACCGCACATTGTTAGTTATAGTAAACTCTTGCTGTCCGTATAAATGTCATATTGATAAATAAAATGTTTAATAGACATGCATAATACAAGATGCTTTCTGTTTAACAAAAATCAATTCAATTGAATTCGTTAGAATGATAAGATCTAAATAATTGAGCATTTCGGTGGGTAGAAAAAAGAAAAAAAAAAAACAAAGAAGAAGAAAACAAACGAATTAAAATATTTAATTTTATTAATAAGAGTTTTGTAAACAATGCAAAGCAATATCTATCTATCAACTAATAATGCCGATAGAAAATTAAAAATATATATATATATATATATATATATATATAAATGAAAAAAAACAAAAAAAAAAAAAAAAATTAATTTTTTTTTTTTTTTTTTTTTATCAATCCTTTCGTTGTGTATACAAAAACAGAGAGACAGAGCGAGAAAGAGCAAGAAAGAGCGAGAGAGCGTGAAAGAGAGGGAGAGAGAAAGAGAAAGAATTAAGCTCTTAGTCTGTGTCGTTGTAGAATATATTTTGAAAATTATTTATTTCATTTATATATCGTTTCATTTGTGAATTTTTTGTGTTTGTTGCACTACTCATTGTGTGGCCGGTACTGGCCGGCCTCTATTATTAGTTTTGATATTTTGTTACCAAAGAGACGACAAAGCGACGACGTTCCATCACGTTCACGTTATCATTCTATATTTGCTTATGGGGAACAATTTTTAGCATTTCTTGCGTTCATCATTCATACACGCTGCCAGATTTTCTTTTAAATGTATTATTTTAAGTATTTTCAGTTTTTGCGTACCTGGCAATCACCATTGCCTGGGATACATAACGGTAACTGTGGTGATTGTGTCAGCAAACGGTGGTGGCTAAGGTGAGTGTAGTCATTATTTTAATTGGTGGAGTTTGCGTATTGCGAACAAGTGACAAATTTATTCCTCTGTGAGCGTTTATGTCTCTACACAATTTTGTATGTTGAGTTGTACGAAAGAAGAAATATAGGAAAACGCATCAACGTTGAAAATGTAGATACAAACATTTTTCTCTGCTGTGTCGGGTGCTTGGAACTAAACAAGAAAAGTATAAGAAAAAAACTTGCAATTAAAAATACCGTGAGATAATCTATCTAAACTGAATAAATAATAAAAAAAAAAAGAATAAAAAAAAATTAAAAAAAAATTAATATAAAAGTAAAAATACAAAAAAAAAGGAAAATTAAGAAGCGAGCGACCCTAAAATTCAACTGTTGAACGAACAATTTTGGTTTGTGTTACATATATATAGAAAAAAAGCAAAAAATAAAAAAAATTAAAAAAAATTAAAAAAAAAAAACAGAAAAAAAAACAGAAAAAACGAAAGAAGAAAATTCCTTCAACTCCTTATAATTGATATCGAAAAAAAGATTCTTTTCATGTTGTTTGTTATGTTGTTGCGAAAAATCATTACAGGACAAGGACTGTGAGCGAAAGAAGTGAAAAAAATTTACATATACACACACTTCCGTTACTCATTTCCATAACTGGGTCATTTGGAGTTAAGACACAGAAAACACATAGAAAAGACATAAAAAGGGGGTCTTTTTTTTTTTTTTATCTAGGCTATCAACCACAACCACATCAAGTGACGACCAACCATATCGACCCAATCGACTGCGGCATAGTGTTCTAGTGTATTTTTATATACATTAGAGTAGAGTTTCGAGTCGAGTCGTAAGTAAATCTGAGCAGAGAAGAACAGAAAAGCAGAGCGAGAACAAGTAAAAAGTGCGAAATAGATTGCGATTGTGTGTGTGTGCGTGTGGCATTGCCTGATTATTGGTTTACAAGAAGAGTGTGTGTCCTCATCATCTATAGTAACATTTATAGTGCAGTGCATCTAATCTAGACTGGTTTGTCCATTTTTTGACTGTCGAAATAGATTTTCTCAAGTGTGCCATCGCGATGGCTGCTCCTGCAGCCTGTACGCGCTTCTCCGACAACTATGAGATCAAGGAGGAGCTGGGTCGAGGTGCCTTTTCTATAGTGAAGCGTTGTGTGCAAAAATCAACGGGAAATGAGTTTGCAGCGAAAATTATTAATACGAAAAAACTGACAGCTCGAGATTTTCAGAAGTTGGAGCGAGAGGCAAGAATATGCCGTAAACTTCATCATCCCAATATTGTACGATTACATGATAGTATACAAGAGGAAAATTATCATTATTTGGTGTTTGATCTAGTGACCGGCGGAGAGCTATTTGAGGACATTGTAGCACGTGAGTTTTATTCGGAGGCCGATGCCTCGCATTGTATTCAACAAATTTTGGAGTCGGTCAATCACTGCCACCAGAACGGTGTGGTTCATCGTGATCTCAAACCGGAGAATTTACTATTAGCTAGCAAAGCAAAGGGTGCTGCCGTTAAATTGGCCGATTTTGGTTTGGCCATTGAGGTGCAGGGTGATCACCAGGCATGGTTCGGCTTTGCCGGTACCCCTGGTTATCTTTCGCCTGAGGTTCTTAAAAAGGAACCTTACGGCAAGCCGGTCGATATTTGGGCATGTGGTGTCATTTTGTACATCCTACTCGTGGGCTATCCACCATTTTGGGATGAGGATCAGCATCGTCTGTACTCGCAAATTAAAGCGGGTGCTTACGACTACCCATCACCCGAGTGGGACACTGTGACCCCAGAGGCCAAGAATTTGATCAATCAAATGCTTACCGTTAATCCCCATAAGCGCATTACTGCTGCTGAAGCCCTCAAACACCCCTGGATCTGCCAAAGAGAGCGCGTGGCCTCAGTCGTACATCGTCAAGAGACAGTCGATTGTCTTAAAAAATTCAATGCTCGTCGCAAACTTAAGGGTGCTATATTAACCACAATGCTAGCCACTAGAAATTTTTCCAGCAAGAGCATGATTACCAAAAAAGGCGAGGGCTCTCCCGTTAAAGATTCTACTGACTCCTCAAACGCTACCATGGAGGATGATGATGTTAAGGCCAGACGTCAAGAGATAATCAAAATTACTGAACAACTGATTGAGGCAATCAATAGCGGTGACTTTGATGCCTATACCAAAATTGGTGATCCTCATTTGACTGCATTCGAGCCAGAGGCGTTAGGCAATTTAGTGGAAGGAATTGATTTTCACAAATTCTATTTTGAGAATGTTTTGGGCAAGAATTGTAAGGCCATCAATACTACGATTTTGAATCCACATGTGCATTTGTTGGGCGAAGATGCCGCTTGCATTGCATACGTACGTCTTACTCAATATATTGATAAGCAGGGTCATGCTCACACCCATCAGTCGGAGGAGACGCGCGTCTGGCACAAACGCGACAACAAGTGGCAGAATGTACACTTCCATCGCAGCGCTTCGGGCAAGGTGAGCGGAGCTACGACTTTTGATTTCATACCACAAAAGTAGACTTACATTTATTATTATTATTATTATTATTATTATTATTATTATTATTATATTATTATTATATATAATATATTATACATTAGATAAATTCTGAAATTGCAAGAAAACACTGAATACAGTAACTGAGAGCGCAACTGATTAACTGAGAAACTGTGAAACCGAGTAACCGAAACCAAACAAAATGAAACTGAAAAACCGATATCGAAAACGAAACCGAAACTGAAACAGCAACTGCAATCGCAACAGCAACTAATGCACGCGTCAAGTGTTGTTACACAAAAGATATTTTTTGCGTCTACGTCACCAATTTTTTTCTTACTTTAGATCCTTACAAATCTTATTATTATTATTATTATTATTATTATGATTATTATTATGATTATTATAATTATTATTATCATTATAATTATATAAATCCAAAACCAAAAAGATAAATGAATTAAAACAAAAACAAAAATTAATAAATAAATTCGATCGAACTCTTAATTAATACTGAAAAAAAAAAAAAAAAAAAAAAAAAAAAAAAAAAAAAAAAAAAACCAAAAAAACAACAAATATCACAATTTAAAACAAAACAAAAACAAAAAAAAAAAAATTAATACATGTAAACATTTAAAATTTAACTAATTAAATTAATTCTAAAATAAAACTCTAATTAAATTCTCAAAATATATATATCACAATCTATCGATTTCGTTTGATTTCATTTCACATCTCCTTATTTTGTTTGGGTGTTTTGTGTATTTGTGTGTGTATGTGCGTGCTTATATACTCTCAATCTCTCTTTCTCTCTCTATCTGTCAACATATGTGTGTGTCTCTGCCTATGGCTGTGTTTTTCTCTATTTCTCTGTCTCTCTCTCTTTCTCTCTTTGTGTGTGTGTGTGTGTTTGTGTGTGGATGTGTGTGTGTGTGCGTATTTGAGCTTGCGCTATTTGATTAATGGGTGCTGAACGGGTGAAAAACGGTGATGAGATGGAGGCAGAAGGCTGGAGATATTTTTTAAACTTAATTTCTTTCGCTCCTTGTCTATCGTTATCCTTCTACAGTGACACCGGTTTAAGCAAACACTTACTAGGTGACCGTTAAAGGAAAATTTGTAATCTGTATATATATAATATAGATTTATTTATATATATATATATATGTATATATAATGTAGATTTGTAATATATGCATACATATATGAAAGGGTCTGAATGCTATGAACTAATATTTCAATTAAGCGCAGACCCATCGTCTTCATGTAAGATTCGTATTTGAGGTAAAGCAATTGTCCAGATTAACAGGTTAAGTAAATAAAATAGTAATTCTTTCAAGAGGGACTTGTTTTTTAGCAGGTTTCCAATAGTAGGGGACTAGAAAGCAATGGAAGCAAACTGAATGGAAGAGAAATTATAGAACACAATTGTATTTTTCTCGGATCTTAATCTTTTTCGAATCTTATTTTCGAAGAATAAAAGTTGCTTGTAGTGCAATAGTGAAGCTAGTTGTTGTTGATTGTTTTAACATCATGCCAATAATAAGAATATTAGGAGAATTGAATTGTTTTATATCCATCTACAGCTTGTTATTATTACAATGGGACAAGTCTTTACCAAATCCTTTTTTTCCTTTCTTTATATATATATGCAATAATAATGTATGTGGTACAGATCATCGGTTCTAGGCAAAAAAAAAAAGAAAAAAAAAGCCGAAAGTAGAAAGAGAATAAACATGTTTTCACTGCCTCTACAAAATGCATAAAATTTGAACTCATCAACTCGTTGAAGCGAAGACTGGGACGAGTAACGGCGTTAAGGATGAATATAATCTGCTTGTAATGTAACCGTTCAGTTTGTCATACTTTAAAGTTATATTGAAGTCAATTGAGTTTAGGGTAAAGGTAGTTAGGTAAAGCGAAGTTAGTCTTCTTCTTCTATTTTTCTTTTAAATCAATTATAATATACAGGAGAACCGTACATAATATTGTGATCAAGAAGTAAGACAAATATTCAAATTAAAATATTTTTTTTCTTCTAAATTGATAGCACTATGACAGATATCTGTGTCAAGTTTCAAATCATAAAATTCGTTAGTGTTTCCGGTGTGTTTGGCTTTGTACGATAAAATCTACACATCCGACTCGGAAACAATCAATCGATCGAGGTATCGATATCGTTCAAAAGGCCAAAGGTCAAGACCGAGGAAACCGCGCCAAAGCCGTTCAAAGTCATTAAGGTGCAGTTTTCATCAAACAGTTTTCTTCGATTATTGTGGTGTTATACTTTAGGAATCCCTTCCATCGGGTCAAATTGTCAACAAGGACTATCATTTGAATTTGGGGATTACTTGGAACGCGACGAAATAGAATTGGAATAACGAATGGATCTAAGAACGAAATAGATTAAAGTGATCTTACTTTTTGAACGCAGTTATATATATATTTCCTCTGCACAATAAACGTAAACGTAAAACGTTTTGTTTGCTCCAACTCGTTCTATTACATAAAACTGTAAAGTACAGTCTAACCGAAGATCGTAATTACCGTGAATAATACGATATTTGGCTTCATTACTTTTTATATAGTTTCTTAAAACAAATTTTATAGACGATCTTCGTTTTGGACGCTCGCAGCAGATAATAGGAAATTTTTAGAGAATGATTCCAATTAAAAGCCATGTATATACACGTTATGTTTTATTTATGTATGGTTTTTTTTTTTTTTAAGGGTAATTGCAAATAAATATCGTAAGATAGATTCATGTGATTTTCAATCTTAATTTTAGGTTTAAAGGGAGAAACTACTGTAAGCGGCTTTTTGACAATTTTTTTATGAATAGAAGGAAAGTGGAAAGTAGAATGAGAATATTTGATTGAGAAAGTTATCAAGCGCTTACCTTGAAGTATTAGAAAGAAAAGAAAAAAATGGATTTTGGAAAATTCTTAAAAAATGGCAACATCGCAGTCATTCTTTGGGAACAATTCTCGGTTAAGGAGGCCTGCGGTACGTAGCATAAATGATCCAAATTTAAATTAAAAAGAAAGCAAACCCCATCATTTACACCCTACATCCATCCTTATATCTAAAGAAAGACGTAGAGATTTTAAGAAATGTTATTTACTGGCGAGTATTTGAGTGAAATCGTTCACCAAAAAAAAGGCGTTCCTTTCTTAATAAAAAAAACGTTTAAATTACTTTTATTTCTCTAGGGAATGTAGTTCTAAGGACATCGCAAAAGGAGGTCCGGATGAAAGAAATGAACATTATTAGGGTAATGTTGCGTGCTGTATTGAAAAATTGTTGTTCTAGCTTTTCTTAACGTAAGAAATTTGTTGTTATTTATTCTTTTGTTACTAGTCGGCACAACATTTAAGGACCATAAAAATGCCCTTGCAAGTTCAAATAGTTGAAATCGAAAAGCTCAGTCCAAACTTTTAACGCTTTACCAAAGTCGCTGTCAGCCTTGTATCCATCCAATCGTTCTCTCAGTGAGGTTATTCTAATGTATAATGTATTCGGAAACGATTTTAAATGAATATACATACCTTTCTAAAGTGATCTCTTAACGTATTGCAGCAGGTAGCAGGTAGAAATCAGTTAAGTAAAACATTAGGCTGTAATTTTGAGCCGAATCGTTTATCGCACGCTAGATAGTCTCTTCAGAAAATTTCAGGCAAAAACTTTCATGCGGGTAATGAATTTTTTCCACATACAAGGTCCAAATCATCTAATCAGTAAAAAAAAAAAAAAAAAAAAAAAAAAATAGAAGAAAAAAAATTTTCTTAAAAATTTATTATTTTTGTATATTATTATTATATATTATTATATATATTATATTATTTATTATTATTGTATAGCTTTTAAAGACCCTGTATCAACTTTTAACTTTATAATTTAAAAAAAAAACCGAATTACTTATATAAATATGAGCTGAAGGTTATATAGGAATACTTTTTGAACTTCGTGAGTACTGGGCATGGGTAAGAGAAGTAATATTACCAAAATCTCTGAAATATTTCAAACTTTAAAGATTCAAAATGGATTTACACCTAACGCTTAGTAAATGTTCTTTTCATTGCTGAGAATCGGGACATAAATGCACACTTTTTTTTTTTCTTTTTTTTTAAAGAGATTTTGCAAACATATAAAGTTGGGGAAGTGCGATTGCTAAAGTAAAATATTTCCTTTGGTAAAGGGAGGGAATAAATTTGAAATTAAAAATATTTATGCGCAGTTACTTAGAGCAAGTGTTCACTGTAGTTGTGTACTGTCTATTATTAGTTGGTAAATTGATATAAATCCTTATTGTATGTCATTCAGTCAGTCGGTCAGCCATGAGTAAGCGAACAGTATTCTAGATTATAACGTTCGATAATATGTATACAATTTATTCCCACTTGATTTGATGTTAACTATAACTGATTGCTGTGCACAGTCGTCGTAATATTAAAAGAGAAGTTTGTTTTACATTTTCTTAACTCGTGCGGAACACAATCAACTATCATCACCAATACCAATACGCGGTTAAGCAAAGGATTATTGTGACAATTCTGTATACGAGATTAAAACGGTGTATGTAGTCAACGATATATACTGAAGGATAAAAAAAAACTTTCCTCTTTTATTGATTAAATAACAAAAACAAAAACAAAATAAAAATATAATTTCATTGCCTATGCGCCTTCGTTTCTTTGATATAATATAACATTTTTCCTTTATGCGGTGCAGTTCGATTTGAAATAAAAAGCGACGACAGAAGGTATCGTTCTTTTCAAATTCATACTTATAGCATTCACGGAATGCTCTACTCATTCATACGATAAGAGAAAATATCGCTTTTTATCGACTTTTGTCAAGAAATATCACTTTACGAGTTTGATGGCCATCTTCAATAGTAGTCGTCATCCTTGATCTAAAGCATTTTAAAAATATGAATAAAATTTCATTGACATGTCAGTTGAATGTAGGTTGAATACGAAATTATTTGGACAAATATCGGACAGGCAGCTCAAATCGTTTTTGAATCGTTTGATGGAATGAAAATTGAACCACAATTAAGTCGCTCGAGGCGTTGCATACATTCATAAAAAATTTAAATGGTATGACATATAGTGAGTTACAAAAATTTTTATTTCTTATTATTAATTACTCGCCTATGCCCCTAGCCCTCCAGTTTTAGGATTTTCATAAATCCTATTATCTTGCTTGGCCCGGAACACCGTAACGTGTCCGCGCTGATTCTGTAGATGGCCTCACATTCACATAGAACATGCTGGGACGTCTCCCACGCCCCTTGGCAGAGTCTGCATGAATCGGCATCGGACATACCCATATTTTTTAGAGGATACCGTAGGGTATTGTGACCAGTAT